TTTTCGAGCATATTTATTTCTTGTTATGCTTAGTCAAATGTTTCTTAAAAGATTTTCCCCTAAGAATCTTTGACATGAAGTCCTTTGATTGCAAATCTTCTGTTTGTGGATAACTCTTTTGCTAAAAAGACCAAACCTTGCTTTCCCTGTCCTATGTACTTAAAGTCAGAGAATCCTTTCTCAGATAATTCAACCTTGATGATATTATAAGCCAAATTTTAAGTAGGGTCTAGCTATGGTTCTTAGATATCTGAAACTTTTGTTAATAGTTAAAATAATCATAATTAAAGATATGCGAGCTTATTTAGTAAATTTTTTATCAAAACAGCCATAAATTTCAATTAAAATAGAATTAAATTCAAAAATTATTAAGATAAGTGATGCGAAAAATATATACTCATCTGTTCTGGCTTATCTAGCATCTGAATACCTTTGTCTTTATACATTTGCTTGATCTTCAACCTATTTTAAATATGAGAAACTAATTTCGTTTAAACGATGTCTGATTCTTATGGGTTTTGTTATTGTAGCATTCCAAAACCTTGAGGTGATCCTTATGGCTATTAGATCTAATATTGCGATTGCTACTATTGCATCCTTAACTGATTTGAACCCTAATTGCTTGAGCTATTATTATTCATTTTCCTATTTTTGAAAGTCTACTTACTTTTCTTACCTATTTATTAATTAACTTTTTGATAAACTAATTAGTTTGATTTATTAATTATTATAAGCAATAATCAAATTTCTTTAGTTTTTATAATAGCTCTTTCTTTAAATTCGTATTGATTTGAAATTAGAATATTTAATCCAATTTCCTCAAAGATATTCTTAACAAAGAATAATGTGAAGAACAATAATTTGTATTAAGAAACTAATTAGATACATAAAAATTAAATTCTTTCTTTGTGTAAAATATTATTATTTTTTTATTTAAAAATTTTATCAAAAAGAATATATTTTATATGTAAATTAAAATTTTTAAATTAGAATAACATATATAATTAAATCATTTGATTAACAATAGTAAAACAAAAACTACAACAGCAAATAAAAATGTATGAGACAGACATAAAATACATAGGTAGATAAAGTTAAGAAATAATTACTATTCAAATTAATAAATATGAGTAATTAATTACTTTTAATCATTCTAACATTTTTAACATTTTGAAAATTTTGTAATATAAAATATTCCTTTTCTACTTAGTAAATTGATTTTACTTTACATTTATATAAGAAACTGTTCTACTTTTTCTTCAAATTTCTACTTGATCTCTGATCTTAATTATTCAAAGTAAAATATTTTGAGTGTCATGTATAATCTCTTTAATGCTAAGTAGAGTTATTAAAAATATCATTCAGAAACGAATGCTGAGATTATTTGTTTACATTTTTTAGTGGATTTCTGTTGATTTTTTTATAATTAATAGACATTGTTTATATGCTTTAAATAAATCCTTTATAAAAGCGTACTTTAACTTCTATGTTAATCGGCGTTAATACTATTCTGATATTTTAAAATAAAAAACTAAATTTCAAGAATGTTCTAATCACTTTTTGATAGGCTAATAATTCTTTGTTAAATCTAATTGCTAATTATGGACATGTATTTGGACTATTTTATTGATTATGCATTTATATGATCAAGTATATAATTTCTTAATAAGATTTAATCTGAATTAGCGGTCTATCAGCTATTTGTAAGACTATTCTTCTAAATTCGAAAAATTCAATGAAGTATTTAGCATGATTTAATATTAGTTTTGCAATTTTTAAGAACACCTTAAAATTTTTTAATGAATAATTGTTTAAAACTTAGATTTAAAATAAATAAATGCATTTAATATTCATTAATAATTCACTTGATCAAAAGTACTTCTTCTTTTTGGTTTCTTCGAGCTTACTTGTATAGCTATTGCGTCTTATTTACTCAGAGATATTTCAGTAATCTATTATGAGATATCTTAGCTTTTACACTTATTATGTAATATAAAATAACTATTTATAGATTCTAAGTTTTCTTATAAAGAAGACCATTGAATATTATATTATTCTTTTCCTATGAGTTTTAATAATACCTACCTATTACTTATTCACATCTAATTAATTAATTAATCAATCAATTAATTAATCTTTATTATCTTAACTTAAATAAAAAAATTAAAGAGATATTGTAAATATATTATTTATTGTTTAGCTTTTATAAATATCAAAAAGATGTACTTTTAATTCCTATTTCTTTTATTTAATTCATAAATTTAATGAATTGACTTGGAAGGAACTTCGTATTCTTATTAATGTATTATCAGATATTTTAGAATGGAAAGACAGATGTTTTTTTTACATATTTAATAATCAAATAATTTTTGTTTTCCTAAAGCTATTGCTTCATTGTTTATTGCGAAACTCATATTTTATTTTCAAAGCTTTCCTTTTTTTATAGATTTTTTTCAAATATTTAAATATTTATTTATTGTATTCAATTAAAAATTTAAAACTTAAAAATAATATAAATTATTTTTACTAGGTTTGGTTTTATATATCCTCTTTTTCCTCTTCCATAAAAAAACATATTAATTAATGTATGAGAATTTATGGGATATAAAAAATATTAACTATAATATTCCCATCAAAACACTAAATGTTATTAAAAAATACAATTTATTATAAATTATTTATAACTTTGAAACTAAAAATAGATACTAACTAGCATATTTTATAAATAAAAATATAAGATTACCTTTTAAAAAGATATAAATTTTACAATAGAAAGCTTCTATTTTAATGGGATTATTATTTTCTTATATTAAAACTTAAAATATTTAATCTATATATAATAAATATATCATTAATAATAAAACGATAAATATTCAGATTATTAAATTCTTTTGTTCTTAATTTAAAAATATTTGCAATTTATTTGTTTATTTATTCAAAAACAGCCTTTTGGTATTAGATAAAATTTAATTTGGAATGCAAGTTTATAAAAAAGAAAATTTTGATAAATTTTAATTTTAAAATACAAAAAAAAATGATATAACAGAAAAAATACTTTGAAAAACTAGAAGATGTAATTTAATAATTTTAATATTTATTAACTATATTTAATTTTATTTTTATTTAAAAAAAAAGCTTTTAAGTTCTTCACTTTAAGAACATATATATCTTGAAATTAATTTTAGGTAAATTAAAATAAAATTTATTTTTAATTTTTCTGATCAAAAAATATTGAATTATTGCCATCAAAAATTTTCATAGTTTGTTTTACTTTCTCTTTTTTATTGTCGATTTGCTCATTTTTGCTTGTTTTAAATTTTTTTTGCAATAGCTCTAATTAGCATCTATTTCATTCTAACTAATAAATTTATTTTAAAATGTTTAAAGTAACAACAAAATTCTTTTTAAGGATGTATCAATTTTATGTTCGACCTTAGCAAGCTGCACCTTTCTCTCAAATTTAATGCTCAATTTATGGTAAAAATAGTTTATTTGTTTATTATCTTTTACAAATTAATTTTAAAGAAAATAATCTATTCATTTATTTCTTTTTGACATTTTTTCTTTTGCTTGCTGTAAATATTTATTATTTAACTTCTATTTTTTGGTCTTACTTAACTAACTCTTTTTGAATACATAAAAAGCAAAAATAAGATTGGAGCAACAGGTGCATCAAAAATATTTTCTGCTTTAAAAAATTGCAAATAGCTCTCGATTTTAAATCTAGATCTAAGGTTAATAATATTTTATTAATTTTTTATTTTCTTTTATTAAAATAAT